GTGATCATTACTAGGCAGTAGATCTTAACTGTTGGTTATATTCCACCTCTTGCATTTGTCTTTAAAGCAGCTATGCCTCTATTATAGGAAAGATGTGGACAAAAAGCTTTTTTGAAAAGTGTCCTTCGGTACTACTAGCCAGCAAAATGTTGCACAAAAGTGCGTCTCTTTTGTATTTTGAAGCCGTCATGTTGGTAAAGAAGTAGAGCAGAGCTGACTCCTGGCGCATCAGTAAAAGGGATCTGTAAAAGCATTTATGATTGCATCAGCCAATGCAGGATGAATAGATGTGCATGCACTGATCCACTGTGGAATAAAACGTGTTGGACATGTCAAAGCTAGACATACCGACTAGTAAAGTGGGGTTTGGGCAGGTGGACTGTCCCTATACAATCAAATAAGAAGACGGCTTCAAAGAAAATGCTATTTGCAAAAAAAATGTCTAATATCGGATAGCACAATGCAGCAGCGCGATAAAGCATTCACTTCTGTTTTTTACCCGACATGCCATTTGGACTCTAGCTGATTGAGGTGGGCGTAAAACCGAGCCCTTCGGCAGTCACTGATAGGATAGTTATGCACCAGTGTTCGGTAGTCCTAGTGAATTTGAAATTCAAGGACGGCACTGTGTTTGTGACAGTACACTCAATCCTCTGTCTGTGATGTTCGTAAATGAGGATGCGTTTAACCAACTGATAGCAATCAGCCGTCTATTTATTTAGAGATACAAAGTGCAAATTACTACGGTGATACTTGTGATGCTTCTTATCATTCAGTGAACATGATGCGAATATTTATTAATCAGCTCTACATTCGAAAGTAGGCAATTGTTTAATAGATTTTACTCAACTTACAACTTTTACTTAATAACAATCAGTAGCGTGTACTTTAACTGTACGATTTTGGTCCAAATTAAAGTGAAAGGGTCATGCTACTGAACCATTCCGGCACACACACATACACAGGATTTTTTGACTGCGTATAGCTGCAGTGTACGCAATTCGTATATCAGGTAACGTGCAACACATATCTTCATTACCAAACTGCATCGGCTGTCATTGCAGCGTTATGTATTTCTACCGTTAAAAGTATGCCAGCACAAGGTACAAGGCGACAAGAATAGTGTTTGAGTGTAGTGTTTAAAAATGCAATGAGGATGATTTAATTTGCCGAATAGCTTTGTGATTGCACCTTGTAAGGCAGACGTCAATTTATTTGAATTCAACTTTACGCCCCTTTGACAATAGTGCAAATATGAAGTAAATCCTTCACAGCTACATTTCGGCAAAATAATTGAACCATTGGAACATCAAGCTAGCGAAAAATCGTAGATGCAATTCCCTTTTTTAAGCAATGCTAACCACATACTATGGAAATGCTCACGCAGGTAAAATGTTTGTCCAATAAAGCCTTGGCTGATTTTGAGTAAGATTAGCACTTTCGTTTTCGTCGACTAATTGCTAAAGATTGCTGCCCAGGAGAGAGTGGAGGAACCCTGGTAACCTTGTCGTTGGAAAAGGAAGGGAAAGAAGAAAAAGATGGGCATTGAGAGGGTAACTAGCAAGGTATCAGAGGGTCTGCACACTTAGAGCAAATTACACATCTGTACGTATTGCCATAGAATTTGATTTACTGGCTTGAATGCCATTGGGCTTTGTTATCGCTTGTGATTGGCAGATAGAGATGGGCAGATTTGTAAAGACTGAGTAGACGTTGGCAAGGCGACTTCGATGTTAGAGACACTACCTAGAATGTAAGCAGTGTTGAAGTCTAACCGGACGTTACCCATCCATAAGAATTAAACGAGCTTAAAAGGTTCGGCGTAAGAAACACAATGGAACTGGTAACTGGAGGCTGCCCCTGTGTCCACAGGCAAATTTTGCTTTTTGTAGACAAAATTGGTTGTTAGTTACCTCCCTCAATTTGAAACGTTGGCACCGCCGATTGACTCGTTCTGCATGGGTAACGTAGTCGTTTTCACTGCATTTCCTCAAACCCAGCCTGTCGTTAGGTAGACTGTTGGTCCTCGTCGAATACCGTTATACTCGCATTGCTTATGAGAGGTTCATTTAAGGCCTGCTTCTGGTTTCTAGCATCTTATCTCCCTATGTCATTAGGGTCACCTGGTAGAAGAAATATAGTTAAAATTTACAGTAAGCAGTTTTGCAAATAATGTTGATGATAAACAGAAGGGAAGTAGCGACCCCTTTACATCGTTGACCTTAACACGACCAGCTCTTAAATTAAAATTATAATAACTTCATTCGCTCTGTCTACAATTCAGTGTCATTGACTTCCTTTCAATACCTTACCACTTCTACAAGTCTGCGTTATTTCTCACATAACGTGCAGGGCCTCCTCGAGTTCTTGACAGAAAATAGTGCAGTTTCCTGACAATTGTTAAAAATCGTGACAAACTTAGAGTAAACTGGTTCAGCAGCAATCCACGCACATTTAGCGGTAGTATTACGGGATAAACGGGTAAATTAAGGGTCCAAATAATTTTAGATGTACATGCTCATTGCAGCGGCATTATTTTAAGATGGTGATATGCACAAATTCTTATCAACGAATGATGGGGTATTTCCGCATCACCAAATAACTTAAAATATTAACAAAAGAAAGCACCACACGCATGTCAATATGTTGCGCAAGTGTGTGGAAAAAATATTAATGCACATTGCAATAATATATATTAATGATCTGTTTATTATTCTAGGAGCGTGAAATGTGAACTTTATTTTAAATCGACTACTTTTGAGGTTACCATGGAAAGAGACACAGTAATAGTAACCATTTATATCTTCTTATATATTTAAGCATGTGCAGCATCCTAGAATTGTAGTACCTAGGCAGCATCGACTCGACAACCAGTGGTTAAGTTGTGTGATGATTAAAACCAGCTAACGATTAGTGACATGGCTAAGCAGCCTAAGCCATGTCCATGTTAAGCACATTAACAGCAGTTGTATTGCCCTTGCATATTTTAAGGGAAATGGCAAGTTTGCTTTGAGAAAAATGCTATTTATCAGTCATCATGGTTGAGCGGAATGGCGACAACAACAGCCACTGGAGTAAGTGAAGTTATTCTTAATTATTTAACAGCCTAAAATGCATGTAAGAGAGAGATAGTAGAGACGTCATGTCATTAAGTGCCGTAACCTGCTGTCCATTCGACTGACCCGTCTCTTCTTCCCACTCCGCAAACAGTGAGCTGCCGACCGTTGATGGGTTTGCCTACAGGAGAAGCCTCACGAAGTAGTGCAGGCAAGCGGCAATTTAAGCCACATCCTCCACATGGATGTGGAAGAGGACAGCCGACAAGTAAGTTGCAATTTTGTGGTAGTGCGATTTGTTGCTGCGTCGTATCATATTGAGGAAGCTGTGCGCGGCGCAGTGAAGGTCTTCTAGTTGGTGCTTAAGCTGATCGTTTATTTATGCAAAAACACATCACCAGTTCATTATTTTCCTAGATAGTCTAAAAGGAAACTTCCTTGCGTGCACTAAATCAGCACCAAAATGTTTGCTATTCGCGATTTTGGAAAGGTACAAGAAGTCGCAGATTTGTAGGAAGGGCGGATGCAAATGAATAAATGCTGAATTACAAGAGGGCAAAATAAAAGGCAAAAAGAAAATTTCTCCCCATGACCTGATACATCCCGTTCGCTTGGATGTTGACTTGTGCTTAGGCGGATTCTAGATGATTAGCACATATCCGTCTTTATTTTTCTTGCTTTTTATGGTGTCATGATTACCTCTGCCCGGCATGTAAAAGCATCTCGAATTTCCCTCACAACATCTTGATTCTCCTACACACATTTTTATGTCCTTGATTCTTTTCCAAATGCTTTATTTCCTCAGCTAACACTTCCTCTGCCTACTTTTTCCCCTTCCCTGTCTCATCTCCTTCCAACTTTTCGTTCCAATTAACTGCGCTTTTTTCACGTCCCTAGACGTTGCCGTACTCATCCCCTTCCGCGTCCATCCATTCAACTTGCGATTCCTGCAACCTTGGCTTATGTAGTTCCCCCATCTCAACCAAACCTACTGCTTCTTTCTCAGTGACCTACAAATTCTGAGTTCCTCATTTACCTTTTGCCTCTGCTACTGATCTTCCTCTTCCACAAGCGGCTTCTTTACCTACTCCTTCCTTCATCTCTCTTCCCGATTTGATTCCTAAGTCCCGCAGTCAACGTTTCCTCTCCCACTCCTCCATTCTTTATTACACCATCTTCTTCTTCTACGTATCCTCCGTCGTCCCTTCCTTCCATTTCCCTTTATTTGTTTCCATCTCCTCCCCATAACAGCCCCCATTCCATCATCTACAATAATTGGCATTCATCACCCATGTCTACTCACTCCTCCTCTCCACCCTCGAATATTTACACAATCTGCGTCATCTGCTCTTTAGCCCACAACTTCTCATTACTTCTCTCCTCTTCGCTTTCCTCTCCACGCTCAAGCGTACCATCCGTGCGTTCTTTCCGACGGTGCCCCCTAACCTCTTCTTTCTCCTCTATCTTACGTACCAATTATATCGAGCTTGGCAAATCACAGTGTGCTGCTCATTCACCAGCTTTTAATCAGCGTGCATTAGCTGTGACCCTTCACTACTCCCAATGACTGCAGCACAGACCATGCTTTATGCTGCACACACGCAGTCTGTCAAGGTGTAAGACGATTGTGGGATGGATTAGAGGTATCCAAGCCACCCGAATACCAAAATAATGATAGGATAAAAGTAAGATATTTAGGAAGCGATTAGATGTTGAAAGGAAGTCAATGGCACGGAGAAGCTGATCACATGTGTTTAATGATAATGCCCTACCAACAAACGGAACACTGGTAGCTACCAAGAACGAAGC